GTCTTGTAGAATTCAGCTGAGATTTACAGGATTTAGAAAGACTGACTTGCAATAATGTTGGAGGCCTGGAGTTATTTGCCTCCCACACACATTCACAGTTTCCATCATTTTCCTGAGCTCCTCTATTGTTTACCTGCATCTGCTTTAATGTCTTTTGTTTTGATAGTCATTTCTTCTTAAATCTTAGTGATTATTTTTTCTATGGTCTTTTCCATTTGTTTTTTCATTTTTGCTGCTATAATTTCAGAGAGTTCCATTTGTTGGCCCCCAATTTCCTCTTTTTCTTTGTGCTCTGCACTTGTCCTGGATGAGCTGGGTGTTTGGGATTTTGCTTCCTCATCTTGTTATTTTCTATTTTCTACTTTGTTTTGTTTTCTGTGTTGATGCTTGGAGATTTCTTATGTTAGATAGCCTTATCACTGGTGGCAAGGCTCTCTTAGGAGGTGTATGTTTCTCCAGATGTCTGCTAGATGTAGGTGGTTCTTGGTCTTCATATCTATTGCAAGAATGTACCTTCCCAATATATTAAGTCTGAGGAATTAATATTTCAATTGGACTTAGGGCCCATTCCTTTGATCCTGGACTATGGTGAGCCTTACAATTGCAGTATTGTCATACAGCAGGGAAAAACTGGTTATAGAATATATGACATCCTGGTTAAGGCAGTTTAGTTGGCAATAACAACAGACTCAAGTACAGCCTGGCTACTGACAAACTGTGGTAACTAACTGTTACCCTGATACCCATAGCTATTGGAAGGTCTACAGAAATATAATATAATCCAGCTTATTCCAGGAACTTGTATGCCATGATTTTTCACTTAGTAGAGTGATTTTACCCTGTTGTGTGCATGAGGGGGCATTCAGGGGTATAGGGAGTAGGATGGAGACATGAATGAGGTTAAATATAGTAGGAGCAAGGTTAGTGGGCACAGGATGATTGATCATCTAGGTTTTTGGGTAATTGTAGGACACTGGAGGGAAGGATTGGAAGAAAAGGCCTAGGAATTTTGAAGTGAACCAGAAAGAGAAGAGATAATGTTTACTCACATTAAAGTATCATAAATCAAGTGAGATACTTAATGAAAGAAGGAAGACACGTATAAAAAAATATAAAGAAAGGTTAGAGATCCTCTGTTGGCTCATTTTGTTAATGTGGCATGTGATATTTCCATGCCTCTAGTTCTGTCTATCCATTGTGTGCTCCTTGGCTGGGGTCCTACTGTGTTGTCAGTCTCCCCACAGGTCTCTGGGCCCTGAGTCCCACCAGCAGAGGCAGGGAGGATTCAATCTCAGACTTCTCTTGCCAGTTGCACTATTCTGGGTCAGCGGAAAAAGGGAAGAGCTGAACTTACGTTCCTCTCACCAGCCACATGGTCCCACATTTTTCTATTATAGTATGAATGAGTTTTACATTTTTGCATTCTATGTTTAAATCTGTGATTCATTTTTAGTAAATTTTTCTGAAGGGATTCACTGACTATACTTGTATGGCTCTATTTCTGTGCTCTCTTGTCTGTTTTGCTGATTTTGCATCAATACTGTAATGCCCATTTACCACAGATTTATAGAAAGTCGTGGAGGCAGGTAGTGTCAGCCTTACTTCTTCTCCTGTATTGTGTTGGTAATTCTGTTTTGCTTTTTCATATATACTTTAGCATTACTTTGTCAATAGCCACAAAATAACCTGCTTTGATTTTATTGTGACACATGAGTCTTTAGAAAATGTTGAGAAGACCTGGTGTCTTGGCAATAGCTACTTTTCCTGTCTATGAACATGGAATGTTCCCATTTATTTAGCTCTGCTTTGGATTCTGTTATGAGAATTTTGTGGTTTTCCTTCTACAGATAATGGACTTATTTTGTTCTACTCTTACAATGAGAGAACTATTACTTTAAGCACTACTATTAAGGACTTCATGGAGGAACTAAAAAAAAAAATGGTGCAATGTTTTTTTTAATATCACATTCCAAATGTTCATTGCAGATAGATAGATAGATAGATAGATAGATAGATAGATAGATAGACAGATAGATAGGATGTTGTTTTTTTGTGTATTAACCTTACTTCCTGCAGTCTTGCTGTAGTTGTTTATTTTTATTTTATCTTTATTTATTTATTTATTTATTTATTGTATTTTAGGGATGGGTCTACAGGGTGTTTTGGGTCTCACTACTAGAGTAGTGATCTGCCTGTCTACAGCCTCCCAAGAGCTGGGATTACAGGTGCGCGCCACCACGCCCAGTCTCAATTGCCATCTCAGTGTGCCTGGGGGCGGGTCCAGCATGGCAGGCCTGGGGATGGAACCCCTGGCCCCAGAGCCTGCTTGCAGGCCCTTTAATCTGCTGAGCTATTTGGCCAGCCCTCTTCTAGTTGTTTATTAGTTCCAGTTCTTTTTGTTGTTGTCTCTTTCAGACATAGTCTTTCTATCTGTGAATGAAGACAGTTTTACTTTTTCTTCCCCATAGGCGTAATTTTTATTTTCTTCTCTAATCTTATTAGTGAAAATTTCCAATGTGATTTTGGAAGCAGTATTGAAAGTGAAAATTCTTGCCTTATTCTTGATATTAGTGGGAAATATTCTAGTTTCTGTTACAGTATGATATTACTTACTGTGGGTTTTTCCATGCTTTATCAAGTGGAGGTGACTCTCTCTACTCCTACTTAACTGAGTTTTATCATGAGTTCTGGATTTTTTAGAATCCTTTTCATGCCTCTATAGTTAGGCTTATATGACTCTTGTTTAGTTCATCGATAAAATGTATTACATTAAGGGCTGGGGAGTTAGCTCAGTGGCATAAGCACTTGCTGGTATTACATTAATTGCTTTTCAAATATTAAGCCAGTTTTACACATTTGTGATAAATTCCAACTGATTTTTGTTAAACATCTTTTTATACAATGTTGGCTATGGTTCTGAACAAAAATCTTTTATTCAGCATGTTTGCATCTATTTACATGAGATATACAAGTTTGTAGCTTTCTTATAATACCTTTGTGGGTTTGGTGTTAGGACAATGCTGGCTTCATAGGATGAGTTAGGATGTATTCCTTCTGCTTCCATCGCTGAAGGAGATTATAGAGAACTGATGTAGGATTCTTCTTAAATCTTTGGTAGTGCACACCAGTGAACACACTTAGGTCTAATGCTTTCTCTTTTGGAAGATGATTAATTATTGGTTTAATTTCTTCAGTTGATATAGCCCTGTTCACATTATCTATTTTTTCTTGTGTGAATATTGGCAGATTATGTCCTATGAGGAGGAGTTGGCCCGCTTTATCCGGATTGTCAAACTCATGGACACAGCATTGTTCTTAACATTACCTGACTAATCTTTGAGTGTCCATGTGATATGTAGTGAGCTATCATATTTAATTTCTGATACTAGTAATTTGTATCCTTTCTCTTCTCTTTCTTAGTTAATCTGGGTAGGGATATATAATTTTATTGACCTTTGGGGGGGGGAACTTGGTTCTGCTAATTTTTCCTTTGATTTCTTTTTATTTTTTGTTGAAATTATGCTTTAATATTATTGCTGCATTTTGAATTTAATTTGTTCTTTTTTTGTTTCTGAAGGGAGAAGCTTAGATGATTGATTTCATGTCTTTTGTTTTTGCCAATATATGCATCCCATGTGATGGATTTCTAAGCACTTTTCAGTGTATCCCACAAACTTTGGTAAGTTATTTACATTTTCATTGAATTCAAAACATTTTTTCCTTGAAATTTAATTTTTGATCCATGTGTTACTCAGAAGTACATTGTTCAGTCTCCGTGCATTTGGGGATTTGTTTGGCGATCTCTGTTATCAGTTTGTGGTTTAGTTTCATTGTCAGCCCAAGAGAAGATATTGTGTGATTTCCTTTAAAATAAGGTTGTACTGTTTGTTTGCTTGTTTGTTTGAGACAGGTTCTTACTATGTAGCCCAGGATGGCCTCAAACTCCTGGTGATCCTCCTACCATGGCCTCTCAAGTGCTGGGATTAGAGCTTGTGCCACCACACCCCACCAATTTTGAGTTTTATGAGCCAGAATGTGGCTTATCTTGGTGGCTGTCCCTTCTGGGTTTGAGAAGAATGTGTGTTCAGTGTTGATGGAAAAAGTAGTCTATAGATGTTTATTTTATACAGTTGATCGACACTGATGTTTAGTACAAATCTGTCCTTTATACACTTCTGATAGATGGGTGTTAAAGTCTGCAATTGTAATAGTGGATTCACTTTTGTCTCTGCCATTCTATTAGATTTTGCTCAATTAATTTTACACTTTTATGCATACACATGTTAACTATTATGTTTCCTTGGAGGACCACCATCGTGTAATTTTCCTCTCTATCCCTAAAAACTGTGCTTGCTTATAAAGTTTGCTGTGTCAAAATTAATATGGGCACTAATGTTAGCATGGTACGTCTTTGTTCCCCCATTTACTTTCAATCAAAATGTGTCTTTATAATTGAGGTGGCTTTTTTTTAGAGAACATGTATTGAGTCTTGAATTTGTTCCATTCTGACAGTCTCTTTTCATGGTTACCTTTAAACCATTCAGCATTACAGTCACATTAATTCTACCATATTTTTCACTCATTTCTATTGATGGTCCTTGCTCTTATTTTTGTCTTCTACTTTTTTTTTTTTTTTTGCCTTTTCTGATTTCACCTGAGCTTTTATGGCTGCCTTTCCCCTCTTTCTTAATATAATATACTTTTAAAAAATGTTATGGTTTCCCTAAATTTTATAATATACATTTACTACTAATCTAAATCCACTTTCAAGTATCACAAATAATGGAGACCTTATAATAAAACATGTAATTCTAATTCCTTCCTCTTTCCATTATAACAACATTATCATTACACACACACACACACACACACACACATGCACACACACACTTAAACATATTATTGCTATTATTTTCAACAAACTTTTATCTATAAAATCAGTTAAGAATAACAAAAATAAAGTTTTATTTTACCCTCAGTTATTCCTTTTTTAACACTCTTTAGTAAGATTTTATCTATATCATTTTCCTACTCTCAGAAAATGATCCCCATATAAGGCAGTTGGGGATAAACAGGCAGTGTGACATGCACTGATGAATTAGTAGTTTCAGTATCTTTCTCAAAGCTGAATCACTCCTGTGCACCACCTGTTCAGTTTCATTTAATCTATTTCTTGCTGTGTGCCTTTCGGTGATCAGGTATTGAGTTGTGTATGTTTTACTTATATTTTTGCATTAACTACTTATCATGTATATAGTTTAAAATGGGTTTTTTCTTAATGTGTAAGCTGCCTTTGTATTTTGTTGGTTATTTACTCTATTCTGCAGAGGGTTTTTAGCTTTAGCTTTTGTTTTTGAAGCCTGAGCTTTAGGTATCCAAAAATCATTGCCAAGCCCAAAGTCAAGCAGCTTATCTCTCTGGTTTTTTAAAGGGTTTTACTGATTTCAGATATTTTTATCCATTTTGAGGTGTTTTTGTGGTTGGTGGGAGATAGAGGTCCAGTTTCACTCCATTGCATGTGGGAATCTCATTTCCCTAGTACCATTTATTGAAAAGATGTCTTCTTAGTTCTCTTTCCTTTAAAGGATCATTTTGCAGAGTAAAGAATTTTCTCAATGCTATATAGTATTTTACTCCACACATTTCTTGCTCTCCTGGTTTCTGAGGAATTGGATGTAATTTTTGTCTTTATTTCTCTATAGATGAAGGTTTTCCTAGGTTTTTTTGGGGATTTTTAATTTATCTTTCATTTTTCTAAAATTTGAAAAATGGTGTGCCTGTATGTAGTGTTTTGACATTTATTCTCTTTGATTCTCTCTTGCATTAATTTTGGAGAAAATTCTTGTTCATTATTATTTCAAAATTTTTCTCTTGTCCTATTTCTTCTGTTAGTATTCTCATTATATTTGTTAATACTTTTGTAGTTCTCCTGCAGTTCTTGGATATTTTGCTCTGATTTTGCAGTTTTGGTTCTTCTTGTTTTTTAGTTTTGGAGATTTCTGTTGAGATGGCCTCAAACTCAGAAATTCTTTCTTCAGCTGTGCCCAATCTACTACTAAACCCATCAAAGGCATTCTTGAGTTCTGTTATAAAGGGTTTTTTTTTTTTAAGTCTCTTGCATTTTCCTTTGGTTCTTTAATGAAATTTATGTGTTTCTGTTTACATTGCCTACTTTGCAGACCATCTACTTTGTCCATTAGAGCCCTTAGAATATTAATGATTGTTGTCTTCAGTTACTGGTCTAGAAATTCCAAACTACCTGCCATATCTGAATCTAGTTTTGATGCTTAATATGCCTCTTGAAGTTGTTCATTTTGCCCTTTTGGTATGTCTTGTAATGTACTGTACATCTGGTTATGACATCCTGGGTGAAAGGAATTGCTGTAAATAGGCCTTTATTGATAAGGTGGTAAGGCGTAGAGGGAGGCAGACTGCGCTGGAGTCCTGTGATTAGATCTCACTCTTTTAATAGGTCTGTGCTTCTGCACTGTGAGCTTAACTTCTGTTTCTTCACCCTACCCTTGCCTTTGGTGAGACTGGATAGCTAGAGTGGGCAGAGAGTGGGTATTCACCTTTTCCTGTTAAACAGGAGCTAGGACAGCATATTTCCTTTCCCATGGTTGAGTAAGCTCTAGTAAAAGCTCACCTGGCAGGCTCTGCTTAATTTCTCCTGAGCTTAGGCCTTGCTAAGAAGAGCAAAATGTTGTGTTGATCAAAGATTTGTCTCTTCAGAGATTAATTTTCTTTATTTTACCCATAATTTTTCAGTTTTCTGATTTCAGCTCTGATGTTTAGTATTTTAGTATCTCTGTATTTCTTTGGGATTTATCCCATTTTCCTAGTTACTACATTGGGCAGTTAATTTCAAGGGATTTGCATTGTTGAAGTTTTAGCTCCCTGTACTTCCTGTAGTTGAGCCCTAAGGGATTCTAGAAGACTCTTGGACCCAGAAAGATAAATGGTCAGGACTTCCTCTTTCCCTAGCTGATGCTGACCCCAGCCCAGAGTGGGCCACCCGTGGTGCTCTGAGGGGCAGTGATAGTTCTCTTGATGATAACTGCTAGGTTGAACTATAGTGCTACCTGGGAGTTAGAATACAATCCTTAGAAGTTTAGATTAGAACCATAGTGAAACAGTTGTCCTTCATCACACAAAAGTGCAGGATGGAGTAGAACTTCCATCATGAGACTCTGTGTCCTGTGCTCTTTCTCTTCAGCCAAGAGCCTCTTCAACACAGCAAAGTGTTCACTTTACAAAGTGGCAAGGTCACCTTCAAGGCCTTGTTTAGATATGATCAGCTCATGGAACTGGTTTTTTATTGCAGAAAATGCACTAGAGGGAAATACAACATGAACAGCAAAAACTTTGCAACTTGCTCACTCGGGGAGCCCGTATTTTGTTTTCTTCCCATCACTGATTGAATATTTTTTGTGCATGCTGTGTGCCAAAGATTGAACCTGCAGCATGGTAACATGAACTGGAATCTGGCTTCAAATATTTTGCTTTGTACCTTTTCACTTATGAGTAGAGTGATTTGAGGAAGGAAAACAGTGAAAATATCAAGGACTAAATAAGCAAATAGCCCTTTATCAACACTATGGAAAAAACTTAGTGTTATTTATTACAGTAAAACAGCTGATATTTTTGTTTCTAAAGAAAAATAAAATTAATATTTAAAAATGATGTACAGTACCCTGCACGCCTGGTGAAAAAAGTAACATTTAACTTCGCTAAAGTCTCTCTGTGTCCCATCTGGGCTTGCACATCTTTTTTTTTTTCAAACATGACCTGATTTATGAATTGGCTTGCATAGGGCAGAATTTTCCCTGAAACCTCTGGTTCTCTAGAGCCTCAAGAGAGGGGTTACACAAGTTCTAAGCATTCTGTGTCCAAAGCCAAGGCCTGAGTCACTGTTTTGCTTTTGCCGCTTAGTTTAAGAGAGAAATATATTACCTTCTTAACAAAAAAGTTGAAGAAATATAGATATTTTGAAAGGATTTCATAGCGTATAACTTAAGCCAGACAGCATTATCTTCAGATTGTTTGATTCACAATGGATTGAAATGCAATTCACATCAGAGAGACCATCCCTTTGTTTTATAATAAGGGACAATCAGTCTCACTGTCACATTAAGTGTACTATGAATTTACATGCTATGTTGATTATTTTAAATATTTCCTTCATATGTATTCAAGTCATTAGATATTTTTACAATTTTAGTATGCAAATCCTGGTTATATTTGGTAGAACAACATATAGACTATAGGGACTTTATCCATGTTTTGATATAGTAAAACTGGACCCATTCTCCCTGCTTCCCAAACTTGAACTTGCAAGTTGAGCCCCACAAATTGTCCCACAGATACTCCACCCATATACATGCAAGGTGGAACATAAGAGGACCTCAAACAAGCTCTTCACTGGGCTTCAGCATTGTGTAGTCTCTGGCACACCATCTTTGGGATTCCGTTTAAAAACTGCAAGACAATTACTACAGAAGATGCTGACCTGAAGAAACCAACTTGTCATGGACCAGTGGCACTGGCCATTAGCATGGGGTAATTTCCAAATGCCACATGCTGCTTTAGGGCTAATGTGGCCTTACCTAATCCTTGCTTCTGTATCCAGTACCTTCCTTTCTTGACTGCTGTAATTTTTTTTCTTTTTTCTTTTTTTTTTTTTTTTTTTTTGTGGTGGAACCAGCGATTGAACTCAGGCCCTTGCGCTTGCCAGGCAAGCTCTTATTCCATTGAACCATCTCCCTGGCCCTGACTGCTGTAAATTTTGACATTGACTTTATGGATTCAGCCCCAAACATTTTCTCTTGTATTTCTCAGAACTTCAGAACTTTTGAAGTTATAAGAAATGACTTTAATTTATAAGGCTCACACCAGTAATATAAACAGAAAGAAAATGGTATAAAGCAATGGGTTTGAAAAGCAAAAATAAAAAGATATATAAACAAGAACCAACATCTCCAGTACTCAGGAAAACAACATAAAATGAAGAAATTCAGACACACTTTGTGTTTATAACGTCAAGTTTGGGATGCAGGCTGAGTTTTAAATGACAGATTTAGGAGTCAAACAGATATGTGTTCTAGTTTCAGTGTGTCACATTTTACCAGTGTGACCTTGCCCCAGTTACTTTTCCCTTAGGAATCTGTTTCATTACCTACAAAATAAAAATTATCCTATCTCTACTGTGGTTATCATCAATATCAAACAGAAGAACCAATGTAAAGTTGTTAGAACAGGACCTGACACATGGTGAAGGTTCAATGAAAGGAAGAATTTATCATTGCTATACCCATTCATAAAATTGTACAGATGGTGTGACATAGTGTTCACTTGGGGCAATTCACTCTGGGACTATCTCTAAAATGAAAGGGCTAAAATAAAAATAACCTCTCAAGATTTCCCTTCCAGCTCACTTATTGCCACTTAAATTGGACTGAAAATTTGACATAACTTCAAAAGTGTGTGTGGTCTGACTTTTTATAAGATACTACAGTAGAGGCCCAAATTGCACAATATCAGGACAATGGAATAGGTGAAGAATAGGGATACAATTTTATATGTCAAACGTTCAGTCTTAGAATAGGTAAAATGGTAAGTGCTAGAAAGTGGAAGAGCCAGAAAAAAATGCTGTAAATAAGAATTGGGTAGCAATAATGGAAGACACGGGAGAAGATGGTTGCTTTTTTTTTTTTTCAGGGTCTCACTATGCAGCTTGAACTCACAGTGATCCTCCTGTTTTCAGCCTCCCCAGCTCTGGGATTACAGGCTCATGCCACCATGACCAGATTCAGTGCTTGCTTATTAATGGATCAATCCATCTTTTCTTAGATGATTGAATATGATTAAAAAATGAATAAACTCTGTGTGCTTCATGACAATCTTTATTTTCATCATCATTAACAGCAAGTTTCAGTCCATTAAATAAACATTTCAAGGTGACTGAAAATGTTTTCACCCCAAACTGTAATTCTATAACCCTTGCCTTAGGCAATTCTAGGTAGCTGGAAACAAACTGAGCTCCTCATTCTGAAGTGGAAGACATTCTGCAGAATATGGAAAGTCACTGCTAATTGATTCTCCTCTCAACTTTAAAGATAAGAGAAAATGATTACATTTCTAACTAGGAGGGGAGAATGATAGAATCTTGACCACATCTAGAAATACTTAGTGCTCAAAGGTGAAACACACTCCATGTTCAGAATGGTGAGATTGTGTTACGGATGGAGACTGTGTCTCAGCTGTGTACTCTGCATTGTTATGACAGCAAGTAGTCAGAGGATGACACTAGGCTAGAGGGAGAAGATCAGACTGAGTACGTAATTTTATTGGAACTAGAGATATTTGTCTAACCTCCTCTGACAGTTCTGTCTCGCTTCTACAGGCTTTGACAACCAGCAAGAACTTAACAACTTTGTGAGTGAAGAAGGGTCATTGTTCCCTAAGGCACTTCAAGATCAGAAGGTCGGTGACCTGCAGACATTCCTGGCCCTGTTCCAGCTCGTTATGTCATGTTCGGTGCTTTTGTGTGTGTGAGAGTCTTGATTCATGAGCAATAGCCATCACAACTTTAGATGTTTATATTTTTGCCTTTCAGATTTCAAGTTGGAGTGTTTTCAGGTCATATATGAAAATGCTGCTGATTTTGTTCCTTATAACAATTTGTTTCCATGTTTCTGTGAACCAAGATTCTGGTAAGGAAAAAATGAAAGAATTCTTTTCCTTGATTTTCATTGTAGTAAATAGGCAATAAATGATTTTGACTTACTTAAAAGTTAGTTTTTATTTTGTTTTGTTTTGTTTTGTTTCTGATGGAAATGAAGATGGGAGTAGATCATTCTTTTTTATTACTGGGAATGGAACCAAGGGCCTTTGCACTGAGCTATACCCCAGCCCTTCTCTCTCTCTCTCTCTCTCTCTCTCTCTCTCTCTCTCTCACACACACACACACACACACACACACACACACACACACACAGTGTCTCACTATTTGGGCCCTACCTCACTCTCACAGCTTTTTAAAATCACAGTCTTACACCACTACCCAGAGATCAATTTTTAAAAACCATTTCAGGTCACCTTGTGTTCCTTTGAAAATTATGGACCTTCCTTTTTGATGACAGAAATATATTAAAACTGCCATTTTATCCTTAGTTTCAGCCCATTTTAGTCTTCTAGGAGGTCATATAAAAATTCTATTGCTGTTAGATTCAGGCCTTGAAACTTTGGAATTGTCTGTCTTACATTTGTGCTATAAGGTTGTGTTAGGTAAGTGTCTACATTTTGCTTCAGCTTAGAGTGTTTGCTCATTGTAAGGGAGATGCTTTGCCCTGGAGAGAAAGTTCCACGAGAGTGTACTGGCTGTCAGCAGCTTATTCAGTGGCGTGAAAGTGCACACATGACTGGCTCTTCACTACCTCTACCACTGCCTACACAACAGGTCCTTGCCTTGGTCAGTTTGTGTCCTGAACCACCTGACTTGGTCTTTACTGTTTCATCGAGGACTCTGACCTCAGAAGCAAGTTTGTGATGAGGTAAACTAGAGTTTACCCTGCAAAAGTTACCCCTCCATGTTTAACTGTTTTAAAAAGAAACATTCCCCTCCCCTCTCAATCATTTCATGAATCAGACATAAAGAAAGACCTGATCAGAGCTTGGATCCACCACTTTTATCAAACACCAACACTTCTTTCCCACTCAAGATCTGGAGACAGATTCCTGACCGGACAGATCTCACTGGCCACAAGCTGAGGCATCCTGTATGGGGTTCACTGAGCAGCCAGCCTCCCTTGGATGCAAGTGTAGATTTGCCCTCCCTGCTCCTGACCCCAGGATCCTGCTGCCTAGATAAGTGTAGAATAAATCTGATTGGATGGAATAAGCTTTTCTTAAAAACTAAGCTTATTTTGTCTACTCTGTGTTGGCAAGACTACTGTAAAGTGAATGAAACAAGCAGCACACAGGAGCTAACATGGCTTTCCTATGAGTTACATAAAACTGAAGTTTATTAATTTTGAATGAGTATAACTTCAGACTGAGGAGGCACTCTAGGTATTTTCTAACTAAATCTACTTATTGTAGAGGAAACTGAGGCCCCAATGAATTGAATGGCTTGAAAGAGCTCAGAGTTAGCTGAAAATGCAGTTGGGACTCTTATTACACACACACACACACACACACACACACACACACACACACACACACACATGCACTCACTTCCTTCCCTTCCCTGAAGAAGAAATAATGTATCTTATGCTAAGGAATGAGAATTGAGTCCAGCCCAGCAGGCAGTCAGTAAATGACACTGGTGTGGGAACCCTGGGATTCTCTATTGTGTAAATATATAATTCAATGAAGTATTCAATGGAGTATTGGGGAGTGTTCAATGAAGTATTATGTTCTTATATAAAAGTCGTATTTTAAATGGAAACTAAAACTACAATCCCTTTTCTAGCTTAAAATATATTGATATCACATTTTATGTATGAATAAATTTACCAATTATTATACTCACCTGAGTCATCAAAAATATTATAAATAGCTTTGAACTATATTAACCCAAACTCCTATGTTCTTTTTTAAGCTCATAAACCTGACACTTTAGAATACAAAATTAATATAACTAATAAGATGCCTTGTTACAGTGCTTAAATGATAATACAAGGAACTATTCTTATTCCATCATTAAAACCAATTCAAGTTTTAGTCTGATTCTCAGTTAAAATATTTACCTTATTGATAAATTGTGCACATATTCTGAAAGCAAAAAATAATAATAAATAAATAATAAATGGGCTGGGAAATGGCTCAGTAGGATAAGCACTTGCCTGGCAAGTGCAAGAGCCTGAGTTCAATCCCTGGTTCTACCAAAAAATGAAATAAAATAAAATAAATGAAGGCCAAAAAAAGGTACAAGGTGAAATTATCTGTTAACTACATAAAAACTCACGATTTTTATTTCTCTGAATTTACCTATTCCTAATCAATTAATTCTTTCTAAAAAATGATGCTTAATTTTGTGATCAATTCCAATGAGAAATTATAGAAAGAAATCAGACCCCCCCAACAAACCTTTCTGGTTTGTTTTTGTTGTTGTTGTTGCTGTTGTTTTAAGTATGTAGTACAGGATCTACAGAGTCTCACTACATAGATCAGACTCGTAGTGATCCTCCTGTTTTCAGCCTCCCAAGTGCTGGGACTACAGGTGGGCACCGCCACGCCCGGTCTCAGTCCTCTCAGCTCGCCCCAAGGACGGGCCAGGCATGGCACACTGGGGATCGAACCCAGGTCCCTGAACCTGCCTAAGCAGGTGCTTTAGTCCTCTGAATTATCTGGCCAGCCCAAACCTTTCTTTTTTTGAGAGAGTGACAATGTGCAGCTTCTAACTACCATGTTCAGTTTATTCGGAAGAAACCAAGAAAATGAAAACTAAATTTTCCCCATATGAAAAATATAGAAGAAAACTTTTAAAGTTGTTGCTTCGTTCATGTTTCTTTGGATTTTTTCTTTTCTTTCTTTCTGTGGTTCCTTAGGCCCTGAGTACGCGGATGTGGTGTTTCTGGTGGACAGCTCGGATCATCTGGGAACCAAGTACTTTCCGCTGGTGAAAACATTCCTCAACAGAATGATCAGCAGTCTCCCCATAGAGCCCACCAAGTACCGCGTGGCCCTGGCCCAGTACAGTGACGCGCTCCACAGCGAGTTCCACCTCAGCGCCTTCAGGAGCAGGAACCCCATGCTGAGCCACCTCAAGAAGAACTTCGCGTTCATCGGCGGGCCCCTGAAGCTAGGCAAGGCTCTTCGGGAGGCCCACAAGACCTATTTCTCTGCACCCACAAACGGAAGGGACAAGAAGCAGTTTCCCCCCGTGTTGGTGGTCCTGGCTTCAGGCAAGTCTGAGGACGATGTGGAAGCGGCTGCGCAGGCCCTGCGGAAAGACGGAGTGAAAATCATCTCGGTGGGGCTGCAGGAGGCCTCCGAGGAGAGCCTGAAGGCCGTGGCCACGTCTCAGTTTCATTTCAACCTTCGGACGGCCAGAGACCTCAGCACGTTTTCCCAGAACATGACGCAGATCATCAAGGATGTAACCAAGTACCAGGAAGGGACAGTCAATGATATCCGCGTAGAAGGTGGGCTTAGGATGCACTCCTAGAGTGATGAGGTGGTAATTTTGAAAATCAACATGGGAAGAGGTTTGAAATCCTACCAGCAGCCCTTTCTTCAAACGGCCTGCATTTTCAGATCTAAACTGTCACTATCTTCAAATGTGTCCTGTGATTGTGGCCTCTTATAGTCTAATGAACTACACTGGTGTTGTTTTTCCCTGTTCCACTTCTCTGTGTTGCATGTCATTCACAGACTGCTTAAAATTCAGGGCTACCTCTCTCTGGAACCCAGCCTACCTCTGAGCTATCACCTTGGGTTAGAGTTGCTATGTGGCTTCATTTAAAAAGATAAATTTGCTTCTTAAGAAAGCTTTGATGAAAACAGGAGAATCACTCCGAGTCCAATCTGTATAGTGAGACCCTGTAGACTCTGTACTAAAACTGCAAAAAAGAAAAAGAAAAATCTTTGAGTCTTCAAGGTACATCTCTTAATTATCAAATGTTAGCACTAAAAATAATTTCTTGTGGCCTAAAGCCCCTAATTTGCACATATAAAGTTTAGCCAGCCAGTCTACAGTGAGAGTGAGGTGTGGGCTCCACAGCCAACGTGCTGTCTGGCTTCATTCTCTTGTCATGTTCTGTTAATAAAAAGGGCCAAGAGTTTGTGGACACCAGAGTGCCCATGTCCAGATAAATAACACAGGGTATATTATTTCTGTTTAATCCAGTCTGAGATGAGATTTATAATTGCCTATTGATACTAGAGAAGGCTTTTCTTATGCTAACCCATGAAAATATGAATCCTATTACTAGCATCTCTCCCAAACAAAATGATTGACAGTACATCTACATCTAGTAACATTCCTTAGGAGTATTTGAACTGTAACTGCTGATTATAATAGTGATGGTGATATTTAAATGATTTTTAACATTTAATAGCTATCATTCATTAGTAAATCTCAAGAACCAGGCTCTATGCTGAGTATGTTATTCAATCTCCATAATTTCTCTGAGATAAATATTATATCTCCATTTTACAGAGAGGACATTGAAGCTGGGAGCTTAGCTAAGATCCAGTATTTGGACCTGAGTTTCTCTGATCCCAGCTTTGTGATTATTGTACACACCTCTTCTTTCTTGAGGCACATAACTCCTGTATGTGAGCTCCTGTATATGATCTTCCCGTCTTCTGATGTTCAGCAGAGATGCCAAGCCTCCAACTAACACTTTGCTTGTTCACTCCTTGCTCGCAGGTTGCCAAGGCCCCTCTGTGGCCGATCTCGTGTTCCTGTTGGATGTATCAGTCAATGGCAGCCAGGAGAACCTTGACTACCTTAAAGCATTCCTGGATGAAAGTGTATCTGCCCTTGACATAAAGGAGAGCTGCATGAGGGTTGGTCTTGTGGTCTACAGCAATGAGACCAGAGTGATCAGTTCCCTGAGTGTGGGCATCAACAAGTCGGAGGTGCTGCAGCAGATCGAGAGCCTCTCGCCCCAGGTCAGGTGGCCCTACACTGGTGCTGCCATCAAGAAGGTCTGGAAGGAAGTCTTCAGCCAGCAGCGAGGCAGTCGGAAGAATCAGGGGGTGCCCCAGATTGCGGTGCTGGTGGCCCATAGAACTTTGGAAGACAATGTGACAAAGGCAGCTGCCAACCTCAGGCGCCAAGGAGTGACTGTCTTCACTGTGGGCCTAGAGGAGGCCAGCAGAGCCCAGCTGGAGAAGATTGCGTCCCACCCCGCTGAGCAGTACGTCTCCATGCTGAGCTCCTTCTCTGAGCTGCCTGCCCACAACCAGACCTTTCTGAAGAAGCTGCGGAACCAGATCACACACACTGTCTCGGTCTTGGCAGAGCGGACAGAAACCCTCAAGTCTGGTAAAGTATTGCTGAGGAATGGGTTGTGACATTTTCTTTTTTCTTGTCTTTATATTGTATACCAAAAATAAGGTGTTGCAGGTTGTCATATAGGTGGGCATAAAGAGCCCAGTTTTTATTGTAACTTAATAATATGAACTCCACTGAAGTGTTCAGAGTGACTCCCTTTTCCTTCCTTCCTCTTTTGCATGACTTTCATTGGATTGGTCACTTGTACACATGCCAGAATACCATCACTGGTGATTTCTCTTTTCTCCCTTCTTTTTCCTTTGCTTCTTTACCTCTCATATTCTCAGATCTTTCTTTTTCCTCCCCTCCCATTTTCCTCTTCCCTCTTCTCTCTTTCTTTCCTGTCCTCTCACCTCTCTTTCCCTTCTACCTTCTTTTTCATTTCCCCTTCCTCACTCTTTTTTTTCCTATGACATTTGGGCTTGAACCCAGAGCTTTTGCATCAAACTACAACCAAAGCCCTATTTATTTATTTTTCAGACAAGAGACAGGTTCTCACTCAGGCACTAAGTTGCTGAGGCTCGGCTCAACCTCATGATTTTCTTGCTGCACTCTTTCAGAGAACAGGGATTCCAGGATTGAGATTCCATGCTCAGCTCCCTTGACTGCTTTATACTTCCTGTAGCTTCCTCTCCTCTTTTTCTCTCATCCCCAAATACTAGTTTAGAGAATGGACAGGAAGTATGATTTGAGTAGAGGACAAAATAGTTTGTTGTGAAGTACCACCTGCTAGGGTAGGGAGAGAGAGCTCTGTACCTTATATGCTGCTGTATGTATATGTTATGTACACATTTTTATGTGTGTATATATCTACATATGTACACTCACATTCAGAAAAGTAATACATTTCACATTCACTGTAACAGTGTCACTTAAGGTCAATGATCAGTTCGTATATTAAGTGACTAGAGTGGAGAGGAGTAACTATTTTGTTCTAATTCAAGAAAGAGCCTTTATACCTACAATGTCCTGTTAAGCACTATCTCCATTTTACAACATTCATTTGACATTTGACTCAGTAGTTATTTACTAGTAGAAAAATGGCTTAGAAAAAAGCAGTCTCAAGCTTTTTAAATAATGTGTTATCTTCAGGTTTATTCTCATTCAGAACAGAGAATTAGGGTAATAGTCTTACACTGTCAAAAACAATTCACCAGGCCCAATGAATGCTAAGATTCTCCTAGTCTAAGCTACAAGAATAAATCTTTTCAGCATGGGAGCGATTTCCCATTTTTCTGCTGAAGAAGCTCCTATTTGTTGTTCTCTCCATCTGTACCTCATTCTCCTTCACCTTTGGCCCACAGGCCACACTCAACTGTTTGCTTCCTTTGTAGGTTGTGTGGACACTGAGGAAGCTGACATCTATCTCCTCATTGATGGCTCTGGGAGCACCCAGCCCACAGACTTCCACGAAATGAAGAGCTTCCTGTCAGAGGTGGTGGGCATGTTTAACATTGCCCCACATAAAGTGCGGGTTGGGGCCGTTCAGTATGCAGACAGCTGGGACTTGGAGTTTGAGATCAATAAGTACTCCAACAAGCACGATTTGGGAAAGGCCATTGAGAACATCAGGCAGATGGGTGGGAACACAAACACAGGCGCAGCCCTGAATTTCACACTAGGACTGCTGCAGAGAGCAAAGAAGCAGCGTGGAAACAAAGTGCGGTGTCACCTTGTTGTCCTGACAAATGGAGCGTCCAGGGATAGCGTCTTGGAGCCTGCATACAGACTTCAGCAGGAGAACATCCGTGTGTATGCTATTGGGGTTAAGGAGGCCAACCACACGCAGCTGCGAGAAATTGCTGGCGAGGACAAGAGAGCATATTATGTGCATGACTTTGACGCCTTGAAGGACATAAGAAACCAAGTTGTTCAAGAAATCTGTACTGAAGAAGGTAAAAGCTCAAATTGCCTTCCTGTGCAACTATTTTTGTTCTCCAGAATAAAACTAGAAGCCCACTGTAGTGTGGTTCTGATTTATGTCTGAGTAATAACAAAGACAGTTGGAGGAAGGAGTTTTCTCTAATAAGTATTAGCTAACTTCCTCCCTCAAATCCCTGTTGGAACATATGTGTGATTAAACATCACATGTGTAATATGATCTAGTGATTTTATATCTTAAGGAATACTTCTAATTCTAATTTTTAAAAAAACAGTAAAATCATTTAGAGAAATATCAGGAGTACTTACTCTCTCAGGGCACATGTGATAAGTTCTAGACACATTTTTGGCATTAAAACTGCTGAGTGCTGCTAGCATCTAGCAGGAGGGATTGGGGATGTGGCTGCATGTCATTACTGTTCTAAACATGTACAGACTGCTCCACACGCAAAATATTCTGGCTCAAAATGTCAACAATGCTGAAGCTGAGAAAGTCTGAGTTATATATTTAAGGAAATTACTAAACAACAAGTAGAATAGTCTCAAATGCCTTATTATTTTATTGCCCCCAAAGCTTTATTTACTTGCTGATAATCCTTACCAAGCACATAATTGACTTCAATCTAGAGTAATCTATGATTTGAATTTTTCTGCTCATCCTTAATTTTGTCCATGTTGGTGCCTTGAATAAACATCTTATTTCTCACATGCAGCCTGCAAGGACATGAAAGCTGACATCATGTTTCTGGTGGACAGTTCTGGCAGTATAGGACCTGAAAACTTCAGTAAAATGAAAGCATTTATGAAAAACTTGGTGAGCAAATCTCAGATTGGGGCAAATCAGGTGCAAATTGGTGTCGTCCAGTTCAGTGATGTCAACAAGGAAGAGTTTCCACTCGACAGATTCATGTCCCAAGATGACATTTCAAATGCCATAGATCAAATGGCTCACATTGGGGAAACCACCTTGACGGGCAGTGCCCTGACCTTTGTGTCTCAGTACTTCAGCCCTACCAAGGGGGCCAGGCCCAATGTCAGGAAGTTTCTCATCCTCATCACAGACGGCGAAGCTCAGGACGTAGTGAAGGGTCCAGCAGATGCACTTCGGCAGCAAGGCATAATTATTTACTCTGTGGGTGTATTTGGCTCCAATGTCACCCAGCTTGAGGAGATCAGTGGGAAGCCAGAGATGGTTTTCTATGTTGAGAATTTCGATATTCTGCAGCATATTGAAGATGATCTTGTTTTTGGAATATGCAGTCCCCGTGAAGGTAGGTATGGGTATAGCCCCTAGTGACAATACCAGCTACGCTGGTCATAGTTTCTTGAATTAAGTGGAGTTGTGTTTGAAAACTGGGAGCTTTTCATTTAACTGAAATGTTTATTCCAGTGACTTTGAACTGTTGAGTTAAATAGATAAAGAATGATGTTGGTTCACCTAGATTCATTCCCATTTCTAGACACACCATTTGAAGGTAATGAATCCTTCGTTTAAGAGAAGTGGTATCTGGCTAGGTCTTAGGTCAAACTCTGGAAGCATAAGCTGAGTCAGTAAGAGAAAGCAAAGGTGGTTTACTCAGGATATCCTTTCAGAAGAGGAAGAGGGAAAACAGGGCATGGCATAGGCAGGAGCTAAGCAAGGAGATCATGTTAACTGGGTTCTAGTTGTAGCCTGACCCTGTAGAAAGCCTTAAAGGATGAGCTACACTAGCATGGGTCCTCTCTGGAGATGAAGGCCTGCAGCCTAGTGTACTCTCGGCTCTTGGACTGCATGTGGGTTGCTGAGGCAGGTGGTACAGATACATTGCTTGCTGAGCAAGGGCCCTCCCCTTGGGCTTGGCATCTGTGATGTGTGCACATTTCTAGTTTTGCAATTTAAAACCAGTACTTGGTCAAATAGGATGTCAGTGGAGACATTTTGGTATTTCTCAAAACCTATAAAGAATGACTCTAGTGTGTAAACTTGAGCAACGGATGCCTCAAAGAAAGTAAATGCCTTAGTCCCTGCTTTCTTCCTGTGACCCTGCAGGGTACTGGAAGCAAGTTAAAAAGCTTTGGGATAGAGGTATAGCTCAGTGGAAAGATCACTAGCCTGGCACACATGACGCCCTGGGTGCAATATTTGGCCCCCAAATCAAACAAAATAACTATAATAAAGTAACAAAATACAAGGGACTGATCTATATTGTGATCTTGGGGATTGATGATAGCAGTTCTGAAAAGTCTCTCTGAAGGTTACTAGACTTTTAAAGGTGGAAAACAATGTTTTCTTACTCAAATGATGTTGTTCAATTCCCAGTGTGAGGTCTGGTGGTCATGCCCTGTGTTTTGTAGAGAGAGGAATACACCAGGTTTTGATTCTCCGTTAATTCCACCCAGAACAAATATGAACTCTGCAAGGTTTCAACCCTGAGAAATCTCCCTCCAACCCCTTTTCTTCTGAGGAATCCAGACAAGCTTGGCAGCCAACTAAAAGCCAAAGGGACCTCGTTCCTGCTTTATTAGAGCCAGCCTTTCCCAGGAATTAGATTTACAGCTTTGTGCACATGGCTTCCAGTTGGTGGTTGAGTACTTGGTCTTTGAGTTTTCAACAGAACTACATGAAGCCAGAAAGAGGCTCATGAAAGAAAAACATGTGGAAAGCCGGGTGGGGTGGGGTGTGTGTGTGTGTGTGTGTGTGTGTGTGTGTGTGTAGAGCGCACATTCTCACAGCTCTATTTCTGAAGAATAGATGAGTTAATGACCACATCAGACCTTTCTAAGGCTGCGGAGAAAATGTGTACATAATGACTAATCACCGCACTGATTCAGGGTGAATGGGCTGGCGGTTCGGATACAGGATGGGTGAGTTCCTTTAGATGGAACATACTACACATGAACCAAGTCCTTCCTGCTTTATTTGTCCATGACATTGACCTCAGGTTTAAAAAGTTAGTAGGAGGAGCTGGGGAGATAGCTCAGTGGTCTAAGCACCTGTCTGACAATCGCAAGGCCCTAAGTTCAATCCCAGGTACCACATGCTATGCTGCCACCAAAACTATGCTGCTGTGCTGGCTGTGCTGGCCACTGGTTACACCTGTAATCCCAGCATTGGGGAGGCTGAGACACAAGGATCACTATGAGTCTGAGCTGTGTAGTGAGACCCCGTACAAAAAAAAAAAAAAAAGATTTTTTAAAATTAAAAAATAAATATACATAAATGAAAGCAACTTTGAATCAACCACTTATATGAGGACATTTATATGCAATTGTGATATTCTTTCCATTCCAAAGGTTTGTGAAATTCTGTTTCTGCTAATCCTGTGATTGTCACTTTATCCCCTCCCATCTCTGTAGTAGATTTTGTTCATATCACTCCTGTCTGTTTTTTTTTGTTGTTGTTGTTTTGTTTCTTTGTGTGTTTGCTTTGTTTTTTTAATGTATTTGTTACAGAGTCTTACTATGTAGCTGGGACTCATAGTGGTCTTCCTGTTTTCAGCCTGCCCAGTGCTGAGATTACAGGCGCGTGCCACCATGCCAAGACTTGGCAGCCAGCTCAGCATGCCTGGAGAATGGGGCCAGCATGGCATGTGGGGCCAAAGGATTGAACCCTAGTCCCTGTGCTTACCTAAGCAGGCACTAAATCCACTGCGCTATCTCATGGCTCTATTCCTGTCTGTTCTAAAAGCTCATTTGACTACCACTGTGGACTGGTGGCACAAAGGTGCATGCTCCTCTGTTATCCAGAGAACTGACCTTCTGATGAGTAATGTGACCCCCTTAGAAAGAAAACAGTGTGACTTTTTTTTTTTAAGTTGAGGGATCATCCATGCTCTCCAGAGCTAATCTTACATGATTTTTCCTTTCTCTTCCTCTTCTAGAATGCAAGCGGATTGAAGTTTTGGATGTTGTATTTGTAATCGACAGCTCTGGCAGCATTGACCATGATGAATATAATATCATGAAGGACTTCATGATTGGCTTAGTGAAGAAAGCTGATGTGGGCAAGAATCAGGTCCGGTTTGGTGCTCTGAAGTATGCCGATGACCCAGAGGTGCTGTTTTATCTGGATGACCTTGGTACAAAACTGGAGGTGATCTCAGTGCTCCAGGGTGACCAGCCCATGGGGGGCAACACTTACACTGCAGAGGCTCTGGCCTTTGCGGACCACATGTTCACGGAGGCCCGGGGCAGCCGCCTGCACAAGGGAGTCCCCCAGGTCCTCATCGTGATCACTGATGGGGAATCCCACGATGCTGACAAACTCAATGCCACTGCCCAGGCCTTGCGGGAAAAAGGCATTCTCATCCTGGCTGTGGGGATTGCGGGTGCCAATCCCGTGGAGCTGTTGGCCATGGCAGGGTCCAGTGACAAGTACTACTTTGTGGAGACTTTTGGAGGCCTGAAAGGGATATTTTCAGATGTGTCAGCCAGTGTCTGTAACTCTTCAAAAGTGGGTAAGTCTCAGCAGTTTTCCTAATTGTGAGCATAAAATCAAATGAGGGAGACACTTTCAGGAACAGGTCTTCCAAAGTGGCGAGAAGCTGAAACTATTCCATGGAACTCCACACAGTAGGGGATCTCAGAGCTGGAAAGCTCTTGGGGCTGATTCCTTCAGCCTCTTTTCCTTCTGCAACATTTCCTTCTCACGTCTCCCTCAGTTCTTCTAGTTCACATGTTTTGGACAGGCTTTCTTCATCAGGGCACAGATTGGCTTAAGGATTTCTCTACCCACTTGTTCCTTTTCCTGCTCTTCACATAGGAACCCATAATTTGCCCAGTTGAATAGGCGATTATTACAAGAAGTCTTTGCTGTCCTTTGGACTTAGATGTCCAGTTTCTTTACCATTTTCTATACCAAATCATTAAAAATGTAGAGCTCTCTATAAAATACTTCAACTAGCTTCAGACCTTTCCAGGACAAAGTCTGTCAGGCCTTCCTTTGTCAGAAACGCGGTGCCTCTCTCTATTTTCCAGTGGCTGGAGGTGGCACAGCTGCGTGTGGGAGGATACCGCTCTCTATTTGTCATTCAGCTACCACTTTGCACTTTTGGTTTAGAGTGATACTGTGGGCTATTAATTTTCTTTAGTCTTTTCCCTAAGACATATTTTACCAATATATACTATTGTTATTGGATTAGTTACTAATAATTCACAATTCCAGCATATTGGTGCAGTTTGCTTTCAAATCATTTAGCATTCCTTGCTTTCATATGGCTTGCCTCCTTAGAATGCTGCTACTATCTTTTTCTTTGACACAACTAACAAAAATCTTTCTGGGTCTTACTTAAAAGAGGCCGGTCTTTTACCTCTTGTGTCAAATTTGATCAGTCTTTTTGAAGTGCACTGTGAAAGAAGGTGTCTCATTCTTGTATTGAAAGTTCTCAGTTCAGCAGAAAAACAGATTTCATTTCCTTTATTTGACCCTCAATTTGAAAATGAATTTAATGAGTTAGCCAACTTCTAAGGCATCTACATTTTGTGTCTTCTTTTATCCCACAGTTAAGAATCTCAGCTACCTTTAATCTTTTCTGGGGATATAGTGAGAATTCACTAAGTTAGGTCAGTGGTAGGATCATTGGGAAATTCAGGGAAATCATTGTGTTTACCAGAAAGCCGAAGGACTTGCACAAGCACGTGCCAAGCGGGACTCTCTCACTGGCTGTGCTCTCTCATATTCATATCTTTTGTATTTGCTCTTTTGACATAAGGGAAATGTCCCTGGTTATATTTCATTATTTGCTCAAAAATAGTTTTCTCAAATAAATATTTTTGTTTGTGAAGACCAAACAGGGGCTGAAATAAAAGGAAAATAAACCAGATATAGTCTAGAAAGTGTGCTTTTAAATACCACCTTCAATTTGCCCTAATACAGAAAAGTACTTTCTAGTTCAGTTGGCCAGAGATCATGTTAATAAAATAAGCCGTGTGTTTCTGTTTGAGTCCCTGAATGTGAGGGTTTCTTTTAGTTGTTTTTGCTGTTTTCTCACAATGCTACTACTGCCCTGGCTTTCTGGAAGGGTTAAGGCTAAGTTGTGGTGAGGACAGCTTTTCTGTAGCACCATTCTCAGTTCTCTGGGAACTCAGAAAGGCAGATGGCATAAGACCAAATGGACAAGCCAAGAACAATAGGAAAGTATGTGTGAGTGGCTCATGCTTCATACTGCCTTCATGAACTGGTCTTTTATTTTTATTTCCTCCCAAATTAATTTGACTACAGAGTTGCTTAAGTCATGACTTTTAGAAATATTTCTATGTAGCTATCAATAGTTAACGTGCTCTTATGGGTTAAAGATAGAATAGCAGGGAGAGAAAACTTTTGCAAAAGGGGAGGGGAAGAGATGGAGGGAGGGAAGATGGAGGGGAGGAGAGAGAAAGGGACAACAATGAATTAAGAAATATACAGATGCCAGCTTCACACAATGAGTGTGATCATTACGTACTGCAAATATATATTTACAAAAAAAAAAAAAAAGAAATAACATCTGGTTCTTTGTGGGTTTTTTTTTCACCCTTTTCTCTTCTTTGTAGATTGTGATATTGAAAAAGTAGATCTTGTTTTCCTCATGGATGGTTCAAATAGCATTCATCCAAATGACTTCAAGAAGATGAAGGACTTTTTGGCATCTGTTGTTCAAGACTTTGATGTCAGTCTCAAGAGAGTGCGCATAGGAGCCGCCCAGTTTAGTGACACCTACCGGCCAGAGTTTTCCTTGGGGACTTTCGTGGGAGAGAAGGAGATATCACTTCAGATTGAAAACATCCAACAGATCTTTGGGTACACACACCTCGGTGCTGCACTCCAGAAGGTGAGCCATTACTTCCGGCCAGACATGGGCAGCAGGATAAATGTGGGCACCCCCCAGGTGCTGCTGGTCCTCACGGATGGCCGCTCCCAAGATGAGGTGGCTCAGGCAGCTGAAGAGCTGAGACACAAAGGTGTGGACATCTACTCAGTGGGCATCGGGGATGTGGATGACCAACAGCTCATCCAGATCACAGGGACTGCAGATAAAAAACTCACCGTTGATAACTTTGATGAGCTGAAAAAGGTCAAGAAAAGGCTTATTCGCCACATCTGTTCCTCAGGGGGTGAGAGCAGTAAGTATTGAATAAGTTCTTTGTTTTTCCTATTTTTATCCCCACTCTGACATTCTCTTGAAGCTCTATTTCATCCCTGGGGATGCCAGGAAATTTAGGTTTGCAAGTCTGGATTTCACAGTGAAATTCTGCTCAGTTATCAGGGATTTTTTGTGGCTTATGGATTGAGGAACAGGGTGTTTGGGTTCCTGTGTCTTTTTCTCCATTCCCCTCAGGGGAGTATGTCTGCTCTGTGAGTGGGAGAAGCTGAGCTCCAGAGGTGTGAGGAAAAGGCTATGTTCGCAGTGTGACAAGTTCCAGAGGTTGCGACATAGGAGTCCAAGAAATGAACACTTGGATGTTGGTTGCCTAGCCATAGGACTCAGTGCTGCCAAAAGCTACAAATGGAGGGAACCTCCCTGGAGCTTTACATCTTCATTATGAAATTTTACCATAGAAGTTAGTAAATATCTTCTTAAATATGAGCACATTTTGACATTGTTCCAATAGAAGGGGGGAAAAGTATCTTGAACAAGTAACTTTTTAAAAAAATTAGGGAAGCATCCAATGCGTTGGCTCTGCTTTTAAGTATTTTGATGCGGTAAACATTGGCCCCAGGTTTCCACCAAGGAAAGCAGCATTGAGAAGCAACTGGAGACAGCCTGGCCACAAATCAATGTTCTATGGCCATTTTATCCTGGACAACTTGCTTAACTTCTCTAATTTTAATTTTCTTATCCATGGACTGTAAAAGGCAGTACTGCATGGTTCAAAATGTCACTTTGGGGGTGAAATGAGAAACAGGCACATTTCAACTTGACTTTGAATAGGGCTGGCGTTGGAATAATGATTACAACGTAACTTAACTTTTGTCTACCACTGATCTATTGAATTTATTCCTGAGGTCTAGCCCTTCTTTTGCCACTGGTCACTTCCAAAAAATAAATGGACCTCCCATTGGTAACATTGATACATCTGCCCTAGTGTAACTACTAAAACTCTAAATTCTGTGCGAGGCTTTCCTAAGTTCCCAGCCTGCCACAGACAGCTCACCTGCCTTGACGGAAGTGGCCACCAGGGTTGATGGCTCCTCCTTTCCTTTACCTTTCAAAACCTGGCCTTCTCCCAGGCTCCACTCCCACTCATTGACCCTGGCTTCTGACCACTGAAGTAGGATCTGGAGAAAGGAGATGGTCTGAAGGGGTCCAGAGGTCCTTATTTGATGGTATCTGTCAAGAAATAAGTTTCCCTAATGGTAGCTTGAGTCCCAAAGTGGACCTGCTGATGGCTTCTGCAAAGGCTTTGGTGTCCTGTGCTGCATCCTCCCATCCCCAGTGCAGCCCATCTGTTGGGGAATCTCTCAAGCGTGGCTGGCTCACGTGAGAATGGGTAAGTACCCTCTGAATTCAGAGGTCCCTATTCCTTCTCAGCCTCAGCATCGTTAATGGCTGTGGTTTATTGTGCTAATGCTTGCCCCACCCCCTGCGCCCCCATGGAAGAACAAAGAAGCCCTCAACAGCACATTAGCTTCATGGGAAAAACTAGAATATCAACCACCCTGCCTGATAAACGCTGGCAATTATCACCCTCGAAAGTGGCTGCCTCTCTTTTGCAGGAAAAGCAACAAACCCCACTGTCTCATTCCTTAGAATCTCCAGCTTTATAAATTGACTTAAGGAGGATACTGTCTTCCTTCCCTGTGAGTGTGCGTGTGTCTGTCTGTCCTTCTGTCCACATACACTGAGATGGGGGAGGCTCACAGCCCAACAACAGCTCTCTCCACAAAAGCTCTTCTAATGTCCTGTCTCACACCTGTGTGAGACCTAGTGTGGAGGTTAAAGGTTAGGGGTCTTGTAGTTGATTAGAGACTATTCTCTTTGTACATCCCACTCAAACTTTGGAATATTTTAGCCAAATTTTTCCATCAATTTCCTATCAAATATCCATTTCCAATTATTAGGCAAACAATCATCTTAGCACAGTCTAGTCTCTACCTGATTGCATGAAAACAAAATTAAAAAGCAAGAACAAGAGTATAAATTCTAAATAATGACTGAGTTATCTTTAAAGAAAATAGCCATGAACACACACAAAAAAAGAAGTGTTCTATATTAAGACAGATTTGAAGCCATTACTCCAGCAAGCAAAAATGCAAGGCTTTTGGAGCCAAGCTGTGAGCAAGGGCTGATGAAGCTGGAGAGAGCACTGATAAGCTTCAAAGCAAGCGCAAATGATCAAGGGATGCCAGTTCCTCTGCAGTTATAAGGACGTGGGACAGTAGCCTGTGGTTCAAATCAAACTGAAACTAGAGTCTCAGATGTTTGTTCTGGTGTGTGTGATTGCGTGTGTGTGTGTGTGTGTGTGTGTGTGTGTGTGTGTGTGTGTGTCTCAGTTACTCTTCTCTCATTGCTGGGACAAATACCCAATACCCAAAATGAAGGAAGGAAAAGTTTATTTAGCTGCCTGACTGGAGGCTTCAGTCCATACCCAGCTGGTGCCAAGGCAGAGCAGCACATGGTAGAGAGCAGCCTTTCATGGTGGAGGCAAAGAGCAAGACAGCAAACGGGAGCAGCAACAACAATGGCTACAGAGAGCAAGTCTGTCTCTCTGTCTCTCTTACATTACATTCACGATATATGCCCCAGGACCCGTGTAGTATTCACACCCATAATCCCAGCAGTACTCAGACCCCTATCCCAGGCTTGATTATAAATTAGTCTCACACTCTAGAAGTCCACACCCCATGATTGCATGAGGCTTTGGGGGGACACCTAGACATAAACCATAACAGTGTGTGTGTGTGTGTGTGTGTGTGTGTGTGTGTGTGTGTGCTCTTGTGCATGGATGCTGGGGCTCAAACCCAAGGTCTTTTGCCTTGCAGGCAAGAGTTCTATCACTGAGCTACACACTCGCCCACACTGGCTTCTTTCTAAGAAAATACGCCTGGATTTGGAGAAGCCACTATCCTTCCTAAGGCTTGGTTTTCCCATTCATAAAGCTAAATGGCCTCTAAAAATTTCTCTCATTGTACACTACAATTCCAAACGTGAAGGGGTGGTCAGCTGCGTGACTCTGCAAAGGCAGTGACGGGCATTGCTTCTTGGGCATCTACGAAGGGGCAAGCCTGGCGCTCAGAGCACCCCAGTACAGTGTCTCGCTTCATTCTCCCGATAGCCTGTGCAGTTTATGTTTTCATTTTCATTTATAAATCTCAAAGGGACATTTAGAGCCTGACCCAGGTCATACTACAAGTAACAGACTAAGCATATTTTGAAATTGAGATTTGACCCAAATTCTTCAGTGTATGTGTTTTATTTCTTTCTTGTTGTTATTAAGTGAGGCTGTCTGTTCTCTTGATAGGGTGTTGTCTAAATTATCTATTGATAACATTACCAAGAACTAATGTCTAAGCGCTCTTTTGATAATTAATGAGTGGAACTTATTAAGACATCTTGGATTTGTGTCCTTAAGATTGTTCTCACAAACTGCTGTTCCCTAGCGAAACTTGTTGCTAAGCAACTACTTCCCACAGCACAATCTAGCAGCAGGACTAGGAACCTGCATAACTTATCATGGCCAGTAGGAAGTGACAGAATCAGGTGGCTCAGCAGATGGGTGTCCCCACAAGCTGGTTCTGAATCCCTGGGCCTGGCCATGTGACCAGTCATAACAGTTAGATTATGACTCATAATAGGAAAACTCTAAGTCACAGCCTTCTACTCTGAAAACCGAATATTATAAGAATTTCGTATATGGTGTATTATAATTATAACTGAGATAATGAATGGGGGTTCAGTGAGTATAGTTCCAGTCTTAGTATGTTTCAAAATGACCCTAGGAAAGCAATTATGTGCAATCACAGAATAACTTCATAGGAAGATAATTTTCCAAAAATCTTTGGTTTCAGAACTTAAATATTTTAGATTATGTCAGCGCTATATTCAAATTTAGTGTTTCAACATACACCAAAACTTACTAAGCAACTACATTCCGATCTATATTCTTCCCTTCACCCAAGTCTAATTTTCTGATTTTCCTTTGAGCCTGGCTAGTCTGTCCACCCAGGAGAGACTTTGAGAAATCTGGAGCATGTGTAACTTTGGCTTTTGGTATGGACTGGATAGCAAAAGAAACAGGGAGAGCTCTTATCCTTTGGACCTATCCGTGTGGATAGATGGATCAGAAAGGAGCTTACACAGAAGGCCAGGCTGAATAGAATGAGGCAAGAGACAAACTCAGAGTTGGAAGCAAGGAATGTGAGCAGTAATGGAGAAAAATAGAATAATCATTTACGGTTTTGCTTCCCAAAGAGCTCTTTAGGCTCTCACCTTAACTGATTTCTCACTTAGCAGAGCTTGAAGCCAAGTGTGCATGCAGATAGTTTATTCATAATCAAGTAAAGCCAGAGGGAGGGGAAGAGAAGTGATGCAGAAAGGAGGGAAAGCAAGTGAGGGAGTGGTGGTGAGCAACTTCGGAAGAAACTGCAGCTGTACAGGGCTCCTGCACAGCAGTGCCAGAGGCCCCACAGGATGACCACCCACAGCTGTCCAGCAGGAGGAGGACGGAAGACGCATCTGCCAGAGTTGTCCTATCTGCTGCCTCCGCAGAGTCTGAGTTTACCTCCCCAGAGAGTTTACTCACCTATACTCCTAGACTGTATTAGCTAGTGTCTTTGGGAAACTGCTAAGGAAACCAGACACAGGCCCCATAGTGTGCTGCATCAGGGCTGGGGGTGGTAAAGGAGCGGGGCCTCCATGAGCTAACTCAGTTTGCACATGGGACCCAGAGCCCCTGCAGTCGATCTGCAGGAGAACTCCAGAGTCCTGTCAAAGCCTGGCCTCACCCTTGCAGTACTGGCAGATCAACCAATGGTGGCACCTGGGGCTCTTCTAGTTCTGGGCAGAGGGAGGAAGAAGACATGGGAGTTCTATAAACTAGATGTCTTCTAGTAACTAGCTATGGCTCCTAATCATACTTTCTCCTTTTTCATCGAAGATGCAACTTATCTCAAAGGTGTGTCTGTACAAACTCGCCTTATCCAATCTAAGAACCTCACTTTTCTGATCCTCTAGATGTTTCAGCCACCATCAAGTCCAAATAAGGACTTTTTAAAAAATCAGCTAATTAGAGCCAGCTTTTGGCCCTGAAAGTGCAAGGGAGAATGGAACTGCCTGGTCCAGGCTACTCTTTTCTGTTCTTTTGCGTTTTTATTCTGAGATACATAATTCCTTTATTTTTATAGTCAAGAAGATTAATCCTCCAAGAGAACAAGGCTTTTGGCCAAAGGTGCTTGGCAATAACAGTGCTTTGACTGAAACATAACTGAAACTGATCTTTCTATCTTCCCAAATGCCTGCCTTCACACCAGGCTTTCACAGCACTGTTTTGAGATCTACTTCTACTTCTCACTTTTATCTTCTATCGTAGCCTGTCCTGTGACCACATTTGAATTGTTTTCACTGCTCCTTTTCTATTCCCATTCCTAGTATCTTAGTTTGATTCTTCATATTTCTCCTTGAAAATCATTTTTAACCTCAGTAGCTCACTTCCCAAACTCTCCCCACCTCTAATCTGAATCACGATGGTCTGATTCCCTCTCATGCACCACTTCTGCCTTGAAGGACTTCAGTTTTTGAGTTGTCCAAGGGCTCCCAAAGGTGAGAACCTCTGCAGGGGTTTCAAGGCTACTACGTGAAACCCACTAGATTAGCATAGCCTTGTCTCAGCTGTAGTTGGACACAAGATTACTCACCTTAGATCTGCCTGCCCTGTTCCTTCCTTCAATCACATTATTATGGAATCGTTTGTCTGTTCTAATTAAACTCTGAAACTTAGGTAGGTTTAAGTCCTTTCAGCAATCTAGACAAAGAGTTAAAATAATCTTTTAGCGAATGACTCCCAGGGTCGCTCAAAGCCATTGCAATGACTCTCCTGATGTTTGCTCTTTCCTGAGAGTGCCTTTTTCTTGAAGTCAGTAACAGCGCTTGATAGTGAGTAGTTTTTGATTCAGAAGTTCAGACAGTGTTTACCCAAGAGTTATTCTTTCCACATCAAGACAGATAGAAGGTGTAAGTAATTGAAAGGAATTTTGAAAAAGACAAATTCTGGGGATTCCTTCTAACTAGTTTCTTTTTCTTTGCCTCACTTTCTGAGTATCCACAAAGAGAATTTCTGATAAGGTAACATCTAGTAAAGTTAAAAGACCAGCCTCTTTGTCTTTTTGTTAACACATTGATTTATCTTAAATCTCATGGTGAAAATTGATTATTGAATAAGCTTTTATTTTCCATTACCTAGCTCTTTTGTCATCAAAAATGAATCAAGAATTGAAGTGGACATTTTGTTTCAAAGAAATGCATATATCCAGGGATCAGGTTATCTGGGAAATAACATAGACAGGTGTTTGCTCATACAAAAAGACCTGAAAAGCTGCTAGCCCAAGCAAATTAAATATCACTCCTGTTTATTTTACCAAGCAAAATTTTCTTGAAAACCAGTTGATGTGTCTTCCCAACTTGAAATTTCTTGGAAAAGTATCTTGTCTAACTACCTGCCTTTGGAAAACTCAACTGAATATATACCAAGCCCACAATGATTTCTCTAATGCATAAATTTCCCTACAAGCCTGCGCATGGTGATACTCAACTGTAATCCTAGCTCTTTGGGAGGCTGAGGCAGGAGAATTACAAGTTTGAGCCCAGCCTGGGCAATGAGCAAATTAAAAAAGACTCTGTTGCAAAATTTAAAAATAAGCATAGGGCTGAGGATATAGCTTAGAAGGAAAGCCTTGGGTTCCATCTTCAGTACTGGAAAAAAAAAAAACTTCAAGTGCCTAAAATCAGACAAGGGGCATGACATGAGAGTCAAAGATGTTGGTTGAGGGGCCAGTGACACAGCTCAGCAGGCTAAAGTGCCTGCTTATGCAAGCTTGGGCAAGCATAGGGACCATGGTTTGAATCCTAGCACCATATGCTGCGCAAGCCTCACCCCCAGGGTAGGCTGAGCCAGCCAGAGTCCAGGCATGGTGGCACATGCCTGTAATCCCAGTGTTGGGGAGGGTGAAAAAAGGAGGATCACCACGAGTCCAAACTGTGTGGTAAGACCCTGCAACAACCAAATACATTTTAAAAAACCAAAAGGAAAATGTTTGTTGACTTAATAAAATACGCTTCTCTTTTGAATCCTAGATTGCTTTGTGGATGTTGTAGTTGGATTTGATATCTCAACTCAGCTGAAAGGGCAGACTTTGCTCACAGGCCAGCCATGGATGAGAACCTACCTTAAAGACATCTTACGGGCCATCAGCTCCCTGAATGGGGTGAGCTGCGAGGTGGGCACTGAGACTCAGGTCAGCGTGGCTTTTCAAGTGACAAATGCCATGGGAAAATACTCCCCCAAGTTTGAGATCTACAGTGAAAACATTCTGGACAGCTTGAAGGGTGTGAGTGTTAAAGGCCCTTCTCTCCTGGATGTGAATCTCCTGAGCTCCCTGTGGGGTGCCTTTCAGAATAAGTCAGCTGCTCGAGGAAAGGTAACATGATTTCATTCTGCTTGTTGGGGAGGAGTTGCAGTTCACTTCACTTTACTCAGCTTTCTTCTCTTTCGCAAACATCCCTAGGTGGCCCTTTTATTTTCAGATGGATTGGATGATGATATTGAAAAGCTTGAACAAAAATCTGATGAACTTAGGAAAGAAGGTACTGAAAATGGAGGAGAAGGGGGAAAGGGCTGTTTATCAGCTTTAGCACTCAACTCTAGCTCTAAAGCTTTCACACATTCAAATAGCTTGGAACATGCTGCTGTCTGCTTTTCCCAGATGCTGTATGTGTATGAAACAATGCTGAATGCAAAGGCCTGTTTTTTTTTTGTCTTGGATGATGGTGTGTCTTCCTGTAACCTTTCTGGAGATTATTTTCTCCCTTGATCCGCATTGTCTAAAATTGCTGCTTCTTTAGTGAAATGAGTAGACTATTTCTCCTTGACCAAGGAATGCAAGAATTGGACTGTTTTCTTCAAGCACTCTGAAAGTTTCCACAGTTGCAAGCATTGCTGGATAAGTTGATTCATGTTTTAGGGGCTTTCTAATTGGTTCTTGCCTTCTGGTCACAGACTGGTTAATCATGGTGTTTATGAGCACCCTGCTTTGGGCTTCTAACAATCAATAGGCAGTCTTAGTCACTATTGGTTCTTGTTAAAATATATATCACAGGGGGCCTGGCCCTAGCTCAGTCCTTTAAGTGGCTGCTTCCACAAAGCTGTCAGCCTCAGGTTGCTGGAGTTCGAACCTCACAACTCTCCCGCTGGC